ATCACAATGAGTCTTTTCAGCTGAACACGCGCCTGCAAGTTTGTTTACAATTGTAGAACATTTTTATAACTCTTCTTGCTTTTTACTAGTTGTACAAATTGTATTTTTTAATTTGTTATTTAATATATCTTCGTTTCTCCTTCCTTCCTCAATTTCATTAAAACAGCCGCTTATGAGAGGTTGTAATAGCGATTTCCTTTTAGATTGTTTAACAATTTTTTTTCTGTTTTGGATCGCTTGTCTTAACCTTTCTTTTTGTCAGAGCTGTTTCTAATGTCGACTTTACTTGCGCCTCCATAACTTGGAAATGAGATGTTCCTACCTCCTTCTCTCATTTGTAAGATCTGGCGAGAAAATAATTTTTCTTGGAGGAAATTCCAGTTACATTAACTTTTTTGGACAAAAGCGGTCAGTTCTGTTTGTGAAAGAGTCCCTTTTTCTTAGCGTTTAAATTTAGCTCAGCTTTACCTTTGAGAATCGTGTTAACGGTTTTATCTTTATGTTTCAGATGTACGCAAAATTATAGTCGAGGTCGTTAATCAGATGATCAAAAAAGTTGTTTTTCTCTCAATTTAGACAACACTTTCTGTTCATTATGGCCGTGTCAAACTAATAAGTCATTCTAATCATGGACTCTTCGCTCATTCATTGGGGTTTAATCAGAGCTTTTCTCTAATGCACGGGTTAATACTCGGAGAATAACACACAATGCATTATTATAGTGACTGAATCTGAACAGAAAATATAATCTAAATTATTGTTGTATTTTGAGTTGAGAATATCTTGGGAGAAAAATATAGTAAAGGTAAAGAAGCTGATCATCAAAAATAAGGACGTACATAAGTCCAGCGATTATAATGAGTTAAAGTTGAGTTTTTGAGTCCAATTTTATGCCATTATTTAACGGCTTCATATCTTAATAATTTTCAATGTATGTTCATTAATATTTAAGGAATATTTAGTTGAAGTAAACGTAGTCGTCCGCGAAAGAGGCTTTGTACAGGATTCAAAAATTAACTTTACTTTGAAAGAGTTCATTGCCCGTGGCTTTTGGATGTTGACCGAGGAAAGAAATTTTCAACCGGTCTTACGACTCCTTTGGAGAAAGATACTCGTGTTAATTCTCTGGGTATTGTTAATTTACTCTCCTCGGCACTTAGTAAAATATTAATATCGCTTCCATTTCTTGTTGTGCGAACACAGAATGCTGAAAGTCTTGATAAAACTGCATTAAGTAGGTTATTGAAAAGTTAATTTGCGCACCCGTCATTGTTTGCGGTAGACGCCAAATTCCGCGGTTTTACTGCTTGAATTGTACTCTAAGATTGTAATGTACAGTTCGTGAACGAAAATGAACGAACTTCTCGTTAAGATAGCTCACTTCTCCTTAACATAACACCTGCTTAACGGCAGAAAACTTCTACTAAGAAGCAAATTTCCGTTGTTTACACAATTTGTTTTTCACCGACAGGACACGAGTTTAAACGTCTGTCGAAACAGAACTTGGAGGTAAAAATGATAAAGTTTTCATGAAAAAATGTTTTGCGCCCTACCTGTACGAGGGTTAATCGCTAGGAAGGCAATTATCACGTTGTACTCAAAGACTTTAAATTGCTTCATGCAGACTCAATTAAATCATAGCTTGACCTAATTTTAAGTTTATTCTTCAGGCCTATTCACAGAACACAATTTCTTTTAATGAGTTTGGTGCACGTCGCGCGAGCCGCAAAGCAATAAAAATCTACTCTTCTTTCTAAATTTAATTGCATTGACGTTTATAAACTTTCAAGTAAATGACTCTTCCATTCATTTATTAAAAACACAATAATACCTGTCTTTTTGGCAGGCAGAAGCATCGAAAGGAAACAACACCCAAAGAGAGAATTAAAGTTTGCTGCATCTAAAAAAAAGTAAATTAAAAACTTTAAAAAGTGAAAACTTGTAAAACCAAAGAAACACGCGCGGTGAAATCAGAAAAAAGGAAAAATCGGTTTGAGGGTAGATTAAGTAATTTTACAAGCTGTGTAGGTAATTATTGCGGGTAATTGACTCATTCTGTAGCTTTTTCTTATGTTTGAATACTTTCAGCAGCGATTCCTTTCAAAAGGTGCAAAAAACATCTGCTTGACTCGATACTTTTTATCTCGGGCGAAGAAGCTAATATTCTGGGTTAACTTAGCTTAATAACCTCTCGACAGATGTACTATAGCCTTGGCATAAGGTTTTCTTAGATTTAGTTCTGACTTTTCAACGCTTTCAAACGAAAAACAGTCTTTGGATGCAAAGTGACCAGATTTAATTAACGGATTGTGACTTGAGGTTTGCACGCTCATTTCAATAAGAATTTGAATTAATTCACAGGTAGTTTTGTACATTTGTGCCAAGTTTTTTTATTCTTCATGACTACTAGCGCGAATTAACCCTTCCTTCATTAAGGACCCTTTCTAACTCTTGTTCATGCTCACATTGCCTTAAAACCACAGATTTAAAGTATTTTTGATCCGTCTTTTAAAGCCCCCTAGCCAGCAGTCTGTCTCTAATTAAGTTGGCTTTTCCAAATATTTTGTTTCTAGTCCACGGGAAATAAAAACTGCTGCTGTTGAGGGAAAATTAAAATCGATACCTTTTTTAATCAATTTACCACTGTTTCTTGTTGAAGATGTGTTTTGTCTAATAAGGTTTAGCTCCAAAGGAAACCTCTATTTTGGACGTCAACAGGACTTGAAATGTTTTGATTCGGGTGCCAAAGATTAAACACGGCACGCTTTGGGCACACTTAACAAGTTAATTATCTTGGGACGTGTTTAGAATTGTCCACATGGGAACATATAAAATGACTTAGTGCTGAATATCCGAAAATTACGAAGTGCTCACGAAAACTGTAATGTCTTTCTCAATTTTTAATTCTGGAACAAAAATCAAAACCTTTTTTTAGCTTCCTAGACATGTACCTCGAATCCACAGCCATGGCAACTTACATTTTTGACCTATGACTTTTTATGTTCGGTCGACTTAAGCATTTTCTCCTTTTCACTTAGTATCAGGTTTGCTCACTGAGAAAATAACGCTTTTTATTTGCCCCAGACGCAGATAATTATCCGTTGTATTTACTTTTTGATATCATCGACAATTTCTATGTCACTGGAGGCCGCAGTTTCTATCTATATTGTTTACACGAACTAAGCTCATTTCCTGTGAAACTTGTGTTTAAAGAGGGAAGCAAAATCTGACTTTATTCCCCTGTAGTTAGTGCGAGAAATGAGCTTCCGGATAGATTAGAGGTAATTAAATGGGTAAACACAGGACCTAATCACTTGTGTATCTAAGAAAATTCAATTTTGGCGAATTTCGTCAGCCCATTATTTTTGTACATTTGAACGTAGAGTCCAACTGTGAAAAGAAGTACTTAATCAGGTGGATGAGGTGATGCTAAAGCCCTCTTCGCAGCTCGTAATGCACAATATGTCATCGAATAATTAGCTTAGATTAATCAATTTTCTTAGTTTACTTGAACCCCTCTGTTTAGACAGCATGTGGTCTTTTAGTGCATTTTATTAGCTACGATTTTATGCACTTGTTAACACTTATTATGACCCGTTTACAGCTAGATCTTTCCCTATTCTTCTGAGCTACGTCGATGTAAACCAAGCCAGTGGGGTGTTTATTGTTCTGTCTTTGACTGGTAGTTTTCTTTCTTTTCGTTCTAAAAAACATCGGAACGTTCTCGGTACAAACAAAAACCTTGTGTTAACTTAAGTGCGCGTGGATATTTTTATTTACGGTTGTTATTTTCTTCGATTAACACTTAAGCCGGCCCACAGTTTTCATACCAGATTTTTTAATATTCATTTGCCCTGGCAAGGTGCAGGCTCCACTTTTTAATTCTGTCGCAAATGTGAATTTCTAGGTCTATTAAACAGCGTTTGTTTTCTGAAAGTTGGAAGGTTTGCAATTTAAATCTATATTTGCAACTTCTGGAAAGATTAACGTTTTAAATATAACATCAAAGTGAAAAGAAAAAAATAATTTCGAGGTGTGTAAGAAATCAAGACAACTGACGTGAAAACACCCTTTTAACTGACGTTCGCCCCGAGCACAGCAAAATAAAGGCTCACAAAACAATTATTTTGCCTGGAGACTTCATTTGAAAAAATTCAATTTATTTTGTGAATGTTAAGCAAATAAGTCAGAATTAAATAATACAAGGGGAAAGCTGAAAAACAGTTTTTATTACATTAAATGGCTCACGGCGTTTTATACTGGTAATCTATTTCGTTAACAGAAAGACTTGTGTATGTCTATTTTAATCATTTGCTGGAAGTAAGATATAGCGACCTTCCACGAATAAATTACTACAGCTATTTGATTTTCTATATGGAGCGTAATATGAAGACCGGAACCTTGCGTTCAGTCAAAAACCTTGTTTGTCATTATACAGGATGTGTGAAAGACAATCGGCCAAAACTAAACTTTGCTACAATACTGCTGGCAAGAGCATCGATGAAAAGTTAATTACAATGACACCAAAAAAGGCCGAGTGAGTAGTTAACAATTGGAAATAGAAATGTCATCGTGGAGATCGCAGGTGATTCTGTACTGCAAAAGCAGCTTTACAAAGAACATTATGGGGTCGCTGCCGTGATTAATTTACCGGTGGACGTTTGTTGGTGATCACTGAGCCAAGGTTAACCTTGCTTGTTGATCAAAGATTGGCTTTTTGTAAGGCAAATCTTCTACCAAGGAAAGTAAATAAACCTGAGTTACGGAATCACCACGCCCCCATCATTGGCCGCGTTTGAATGGCTGTATCGGTAATTAAGCGTGCTTAAACTGTTTTTCTAAAGCTTTAAAATTCGTTCATTATTTATGATATTCCTTTATGACTCGCACAATAGTGAACATAATTTGGCAATACAAGCCACGTGCGCTCAACACTATATATGAGTCATTACAACACGGCACTGTCACAACTCGCTAGCGCTCAACGCGTGCACATCAAAATGAGCTCATCGTTTTACATCGAGTCGCTAATCCAAAGTAGCAAACCAAAAACGACCATCGCTGAGACAAGACACAGCTTCGAGCCCACTGTTCCTTGCTCATGCTGTTGGACGCCTTCGCAATCCGAAGCCTCGGGTTTATGTCAGTTGTGCATCCCTCCAAGTCATTCTTCAGTTCACCCATTTTTACACGTCCGCGGCGCGACAATTCCCGATGCAAACAGCTTGTATTCGAAGGAGTTCCTCAAAGCTGAACACGCTCATTTAACCTCGCACTATTCCACTTCCGAGGAGGATCGTCTTCGCTTAGTGTCATACGGTAATTGTTTTTTCTTTTTTGAAATCAACTTGATACCTTTTTAAGTCTCACTGAAGAAGGCATATTAACTAATCTTCCTACCCCAGAGACAGGTGTTTGTCAAGTTCATGGCATTCTCCTGGCTTTTGAATCTTGAAATTTCATTTCTTATCTGTATACACGCTTGATAATATTTGTTGATAAAGCTGCGAAAACTTACGGGTTTTTTTATTTCTTGTTTTTATCCAACAGTATCCCGTAACGAACCCAGCAACATCAACAGAGGAAATTCAAGATCAAAGCGTATCAGAACCGCATACACAAGCATGCAGCTCTTAGAACTGGAGAAAGAATTCAGCCAAAACAGATATTTATCTCGGCTACGCAGGATACAGATTGCTGCTCTGCTCGATCTATCCGAGAAGCAAGTGAAGATTTGGTTCCAAAATCGCCGCGTTAAGTGGAAGAAAGACAAAAAAGCTGCCCAGCATCAAGTAACAGACACAGCGCAAAGCCCTCTTTCTCCTTCCAGCTAGATAAATGGCCGAGGCTTATGTAGCTTAAAGAACAATTCGTGTACATTTATATCTAGAAATTGTAGAATAAGATAGAGATTTTTGTACAAAGGTTCTGTAAAACAATGAAGTGACCAAAATGGTTGCGTTAATCGGATAATTCATTATAAGGCTAATTAATTTCTTGGCGAAATGCGTCGCTAATCCGCGTCCGCTAACCAGGACCGTTGCGGTTAGGAAATTTTGATGCGGAATGCGTTCGATCAAAGAATATTTTGGACAGGAGGTGTTGCAAATGCATAAGCGAGTGGGCATAGCTTCTTTAGTATATCATTGGAAGTGATAATGCCAGTTTGTATTTTTAGCGAAGGGAAGGTTGTACAAAGTACTTCTTGGAAACATATGTTTCCCTTGATTGTTGTAGAAAAGATGATTACGGGAAGTCTTAAGAAAGACCAATGGTTTCTATATAAATAAAGAAAGAAAATGAAAGAGAAATTCAGGACTGTTTTATTTTTAAGACCATTTACCGTATTCGAAATTTTTTACATCAAAATTTTGCATCTTTTTTCACGCGTAACTCTATATGCTTTATTTGCCACAAGTTGATAAAGGAGAGGCGAGCGATTTTGTTTCAAACGGTTAAAGCCTTTTAAAGGCGAAAAAACTTCTTGTGTACTGCACGTTATATTGAGCCGAAAAGTAGTCGAAATTAGCACTATTTCACAGAAATCTCTCCTGGAGAGATCAAATCAAGAGAACTTTTGCAGTGTTATATTCTTGTCCCTGCACTAGCACTTGCCCAACAAAGGGATCTCTGTTTAACTGAATTATTTTAATTTTTTTGTTGGGAAAAAGTAAGGAAGTTTTCCTGAGGACAGCTCTTAAAATTTTTCTCATTGATTCCAGGCGGGAAGGACAATTTTTACCTCGAAACAAAACATAATTATTTTATGGAGTCAAACTGTTAAAATTTCCACCTGTAGTTTTGAAAACCGCAATTTGATGTATCGGTTTTGAGTGAAGCATGATTTTCTATTTTAGAGAAAGGAAATACATTCAAATTGGATAATCCACCGAGTGTACTGAACTGCCAAGAAAAACAATTACGAGAATTTCCTGGTTCCGTTTTGCACTGACAAAACCATGTTTCTTCATCCTCGCTATATATTTTTCTTTATTATGATTTGAGCTGACAACTCGCCTTCGGTAATTCATCAATATCGCATCTCGGACAATCAGTATTGCTTAAATGACATTTTATAAGCGGGGGCTTCGTTTGCATGCATTTAAATATCAATTTAATGGCCCATAAACAATGTGCGCGAGCTGGTACTTTGTCCATAAGGAATGATACGCGGTTGTGCGCTAGATATTTGGACTCGGTAATCTTTTATTAGTTTCTTGAACTTCGAAACTTTCTAATTAGTTCAAATCATGCAAACCCGGCCCCACAACATTTAAGGCGAGTACATGTGTTCTTGTGAATTCATCTTCTCTCGGTGTGGGTATGGGAAAATTATCAAGAGTTAAACAGAAGGTTTCGATTCTATATAACATTAAGAGGACGCCCGACTGAGAAAATCGCTCAAACTCCATTCAGGCAACCAAAAAGGGGTTTACAAAGTCGCCAAATAATAAAAACTGGTTAAATAGCTGCATCCTTCTGAGCCAACTCATTAATATCAAATCGCGATAAATTTGCTACAAATTGAACATATCAGGTTTTTAAATGACATTGCCTTGAGTCTGTGTGTTTCCTGAGGAAGGCGTATTTGAACAGTAGAATTATTGACATCCTCCATTTCAGCGAAGAAACTTTAAAGCGATATATCTCAGTTTTCAATCTCCTCGCTGTGTAAAAACCAATGTCATTCTTTTGTATAAAAGAAATAGCGTAATGTTCAGTCATTAAAATCTTCAAAAAATTTATTCTTCCGAGTCTCCTTTTTCAAGAGCTATCGGTTGCACTGTTTTAAAATTGATTAATATATACTTCAGTCTTTAGCTAAGGTTAGACTAATGACGCAGGAGTTTTATCTGTTTTAGAATTGGTAAAGAAAGGATAAATATGCTTCAGTATTTAAAAAGTTTCACTTTTCAAGACACCTTAAACCAAACAATTCCTTTAGAACAGTATGCACCAACACAACGTATTTCATCTTGAAGGCGCAATCGAACGCGTCATTTTTTTTTTCTTTTGTGGAATTGAAGTTAATATTGGGCTTTGGGTCGGCACGCTGTCACCTAGCTTACCGAGAAAATTATTAAGCTCAATATGTTATAGAATAAAATGCTGGAAATATCTAATCTAGGCTTATCGTTTAGCTTTATTTACGAAGGCTTTCCTGGGTGTCACAGAAGCTTATTCAATAGTAAAGCCTCGAGAATGCCGCAAACGGCAAAATTCTAAGCTTTTAAGGCCTAAGTTAGGAGCCAAGAAGTTCTCAATTCAAATTTTAAGGCTATTTGCCAAGGAAAAGAAAAGCACTTGAAATTTTACAAACATGATACAAATTAAAATGTTGCGGTTTTTCATTGTTGTATCAACCAGCAAATCCTCGGTAAATTAGCAAAATTACTATTAACACAAAAAGATAACTTACTCTATAGCAAAAACCGCAAAGTGCAGTATTTATAGCGGAAAGTATTGGGCACTGAATCGTGCTGAAAATTAATGGTTTTTCCTTGCGTGCTTTCCGTGCACGTTTTATGGTTTTGTCGCTTTAGCTATGCGGAAAAAATGATTAAAACAGGCGTGTGTATCGATGGTATCTTTACGGTAATTATGCTTGATAAGAACTGGCCCACGTAGATAAATGCTACAACCTTTAAGCTTGAGGCTTTGGCAAAAGAAAGAGCATAGAGCACCTGCCCTCTAACTGTCAGACTTCAAGTCATCATTTAAAGTTCATTTACAAAACGAAAACGGTGCTCGATATATTTACGCCATTCATTTTCTTTTTCATCTTTCTTCTTTTTCCAAGAATTTGAGAACACAACTAGAATTTCCCAGGTTCCTGTAGGAACAAAGCGCTCTAAGCGTCGTTAATTTTGCGTTGTGCCTTGTAATTTTTGTCGCAAAAATGGGCTTTTAAATGGTAATTCGTAATCGATGATTTTGAAAAGCAAAATGGCACTGAATATTAAAAACTCATCGTTCAGCATTTTAACTCGGCTTGATGTCATTATTTTGCGCTGTTGGTACCCTATGTTGGGTTCTGGTATTTAAATATTGATAATTAATTTGAAACATTTTGAGGTGTTTTGTAGTCTCGCTCTGACCTTGTAGTCACGAATTACCGGTACATTCTAGAATTAAAATTGGTCTATCTGTTTTGTAGCAGCCATAAAGTAAGAGAATTGAATTAACAACTTTCATTTTTGTAATTTTATTATTTCCGTATTGTCTAAGTGGAGTTTAAGCTGCACTTTTAACACGAAATAAGATTTTCTGGAAGATCCTCGATTAAATTTTGGCTCATCCAGCATCTATTCTTAAATGCTCATTCTGACAATCTCCTTGCACTTTTTTCTCCGAGAAAAAAAGCGAGAAATTTTTTACTTTCCCCGTGTTGCGTGGCGAGTAGCACTTTAACCAAAGAATATTCATCTACCCTCCATTACGTAAATTTTCTTGCTATATAATTAGAAATGATCAGCTATTTTCAGCGTGACGTGAAACTGGTATTCGGTAAAAGCGTTTTGGTATCGGTTAAAAGCCCCTTTCCTTGTTCATAAAAGATTAATACAAAAAAATGAACAAAGGTTATTTATTTCTCCCTAACATTTTGCTTCTGGCTTTTAATTGTTTTCAAAGGATACTCTCACAAAATCATGTTGGTTAACTATGGTCCCTTATCTTTGGAAGTGTTTTGACGGAAGGTAAAGGGTGTGTTCGTGTAAACCATGTTCCTTCCTCGTTTTATCTGTCTTCTGGCTGATGTTATTTCAGATCTGTTTTTTAATGCTGATCAAAAAGTGATAATGTTTCACATAACGGGGTAAAATAACTAAATCCTTAACTTGAAAGTTTCATGCGAAATAAATGAAACAGTCGATAAGAAAAATGATAGCTAAGGGCAGGTGAAACAGCCTCTAATTCGCAAAAGAAGACTAATAAATGTGAACTTATTAATTTCCGGTAAAATAACCATTCGCCTTTGGCAAATAAATTCGTTTTTGCCTTGAAACCGCTTATGAAAATTCAAGATTTTAATTATAGAATGATGCTCAATCGGAAATGATTTCAAGTGCCAAATCCCATTCAAATATGTCGGCTGGTGTGATTATTTCAAACATTAAGATGTGCATCCTTTCGGAACAACCTTCTTTTAAAACTGCCTATTGTTTGAGTTAAAAAGGAATCAAATTTGCATCTTTGAGGGCCATTTACACTATCAAAGAACATTTATTTAATTTGGTAATTTGAGAAAATTAATTTGTATCTTTTTTGTTTGTGTTTTAGAAGCCGGCCCAAGTTTCCTGTGTGATGCGTAAATCCGCCCTCAGCGGAAAAAAAATTATTAGAGATTTAAAACACCTTCGGGTATACACGCTTTTAACTGCATTAGGACAAATTTGTTAAAAATAGATAAGTAATTTACGAGGGATACGCAAATCAAATTCTTGCGACATAAGTTTCGCTTTTGTGCGGGAAAAATGTCGTACTCAGAGAAAACAATAGAAATTAGTTTGGAAAGTCTTTTTCAAAGTTCTTGGTTCTCGGGCAAACACTGGACATTTTCTACCAACAACAGCAATAATAACGGCGAAAGTAGCCATGGTAACGGTTATAATTGGCTATTTAATGTATTATTACTTTCGGTAATGCCTCGCGCCTACTTACGAGGCACGCGACAAAATCCCTTTCTTTTCGTGCGCGATTTATATGAATTAGACGCTTTCGTTCAACTCCGTGTCAACCCAGACTAAAAGATTTGGAAGCCCTAAGACCATTCAAGAGTAAACTGTGTTCTCTAGCTCTGCAATATCATGCAGACTTGGTCTTTTGTTTACTTTTGTTTCTGCGGCCGCGGTGAATCGTAAACAAATTTAAGAACAGAGAAAATTTACCAAAGAAACAAAACACTTTTCGGCAAGAAAGAAACTGTTCTCTAAGTTTCAATTGTTGTGCCATTTGAAGGATTCATCTTTCAGAAAAAAAAAATTGTAGTACGGTTGAGATTTAATTCAAAACGAGAATCTAGTTCGCAGGTGTAACTTAAACAATAAGCAATTCTGAGCTTGAACGTGTTGTTTTTAGTTTGTATCGCTTCTTCTCGCGGCATGTTTTAATTGCAAGTTTTGTTTATAACCCGACCATTTACAAGCACAGCACAAAGAAAACCTTCTTCCTTGGTGAATGGACTCATTCTTTCACTGTTATTGTAACTGCCGTCTTGTATTGTGTTTCGGAGGTGTTACAAGGAGGTCTCGCAAAGAAATATACGATGAACTAAACACAAAAAAACAGGATTAAGTAAACACACG